TATTGACTCCCAGCCCTACAGGATCTGGATGCTGCAATGCTGGTAAAACAAGCCTCCTGCTTATACCTAATTTTATATTTGAATTCTGAGTATATTTTTTATGATGCTGCTCAAATTGTCTAATGGGATTCGATACAAGCTGACCCACAAACACCATAACAGTAACAACATTTTGAAAATCAATTTTCCAAAAAACTTCCACAGCCATCTACATGAGGATAAATGAGAAGGTTTTAAATAAATAAATAACTCTATCCTATATTAATCAAAATTTCTGACAGCAATTTGCTTCCACTATATTTTGCTATGCGAAAGTATGTTTTTTTGATACTTCTAATTCATTTCTCGCTGCGGGTAAATGACTAGGAATAATAAATAGCAGAAAACAATCAAACAACTACAAAGCAGCGTTTATGACAATGCATAAAAAACGTAATAATGTGATTAGGAAACACCAGTTTGCAACATCAAGCAGCATAACAAGCGGAACTGGATGGCTAAAAATCAAGTGATGTTTTCCATCTTCCCATCGTACCTGTGAGCGATGCTTGAGGTGACGGCGAGAGGGTAAAGGCTGAGGGTCATGCCCAGATCACTGATGGCCAGGTTAACAATGAAGAACTCAGCTGGTTTCAGCAGGTGCTTCTTCTTGTAGGACACATAGAGTAACATACTGTTTCCGCATAGTGAACAAACACCTGCAAGACAAAAAAAGTCCAATGAATTTGTCGTATGAGGTGCCAGATAAATTCCTCAAAATCAACTAACATGCTTTCAGTAATGACTTCTTGATAAAACAGTTGTAGAACAAAAAAATAAAAAGAAAAAAAACTTGGCAGATTCCCTCCGGAGTTTTTAGAAAGGCAGTTTTTGATTTATTAGTAAAATAACATTATTTGAAGAGGCTTGTTTTGCATAAATTGTACACTTCAAACATGACTTTTGAAACTGCCGAAACTACTTTGACTTGATCTCGATTGCTTGTGATGTCTCTTGGACTAGAGCTAATGACTCGAAACAAGTAATTTTCTGGCAGAACTAGCTTTCACTCGGCTGTTCTTACTGCCTGGCATTGAATACACATAACACACACATGTTTGTTTTTGTGAAAAGTGGGGACATTCCATAGGTTTCTATTCATTTTATACTGTCTAAACCATATATTGTATTGCCCTTACCCCATACCCCCCCCCACCCATAAACCCAGGGCCGGAGTGGGACTCCTTTTCAGCCCTGGAATTTCAAGCCTCAGACCGGCCCACCTCAGTTCACGACTGGCTATATCAAAATTAGGTCATTACAATTCAGTTTCTAATTACACTATCACGTCTTTTTTTTGAGAAAACAGCTGCTTTAGAACTTCAAATGTTCAACAACCCTAACAGTATTATATGTCTTAACAATAAAAATGAAAAAAATAAAAACATACTTAGATGAGGATCAAACCCGGGTCAGCGGCGTCATGATCTAACGTGCTATCTACTGGACCACAACAGTTCAATATTTATAGGAGACTAATTTGAGTCATCATTAACCTGCAGACTGGTTGTATATAAAAAGAGCAGAGCTGCGGTAAAATAATGAATAAGAAGGCTGTGGTCAAGTAAATAAATAAATTAATTTAAAAAGTGTGACTGCTGAGAGCAACAGATTCTGGAGCTAGGGACACCGGCCCTCGCAGCAAAAAAACGGATCGGCCCACTGGGAATTCTCCCGGTCCTCCCGATTAGCCAATCCGGGCCTGCATAAACCCAACCATCACAGGAGACTGTGTGAAGCTTTACTCTGTGATTAAACTCATTCTGTAGGATTTATGAGCTTTTTGAGAAATGAGGACGTCACCAATGTCCTCATATTTCACCTCCTTTTTGTAATACCTGTGTCATACCCATGTCATTATACAGATTTGAGTCCTTATTTGTCACAAAAACACGTACACACACACACACACATGCACAAGCACACACACGCACACACACACACACGCACACACACACACACACGCGCACACACACACACAAACACACACACACACACACACACACACAAACGCACGCGCACGCACACACACACACACACACACACACACACACACAATATTCTTAAATTCAGATTTTCATTAGGGACACACGCGCACACACACACACACACGGGCACACACACACACAAACACACACACACACAAACACACACACACACACACACACACACGCACGCACGCACGCACGCACACACACACACACACACAATTCTTAAATTCAGATTTTCATTAGGGACACACTTTATCGTGATGGTCTGTTCGTTGAATTTATTTGAATGCTGGAGCATGTGGCGACGCATTGGCGCAGTAGGTAGTGCTGTCGCCTCACAGCAAGAAGGTCGCTGGTTCGAGCCTCGGCTGGGTCAGGGGGCATTTCTGTGTGGAGTTTGCATGTTCTCCCCGCGTCCGCATGGGTTTCCTCCGGGTGCTCTGGTTTCGGTGAGTATTGCACAGTACTTAAAACTACTCAAACATGCTTCTGTCAATGCTTTCAAGCTATTACATTTGATTTAGCAAAGTCACACAAGTGCCAATTTTACATTCGTCGCATCCATAACAGAGATGTCTAACCCAAGCTCATTCTGAAAACGTAGTCCCGCGGACGTTTCTGGAGACAGCGGAATACGTCCCGGGAGGTACGTACTGCTGCATTTATTTTTTTTTCAAGCGAATGCTGCGGGGCGGTGTGACGCTGTTCCCCTTTCGCGCTCGCCGGCTGACCGCTCACCTCCTTGTGGAGGGCTTTCCCGCTGCAATCCGTTTGTCCACTCAGCTCACCGTGTAACGTCGGCAGGCTCGAGAGACGCGGAGAGGAGGAGTCGACCACGGCGATCGGTTTCGAGTCCGGGGGAGAGCAGTTCCAGCAATAGGGTAAGACAAAAACAGAATCCCAAAAATTAAGTGAACGAGTTTCGTGACAGGGCGAGAACGCGGCGAAATCCGAAAACGCGGTGGGATAAAAAAAACAACAACAAAAAATCAGGGCTTTTTTTTTTTTTGGATGGCTTTTTGTAAACCGTTGCTCGGGTTCAGGGAAGCGAGCGGGCGGGCGGGTCGATCAGTAAAATTGGTTGGGTTGAGGGAAAGAGGAGGGCGGTCAGCCGATTGGCCGGTCGCGCAGTCAATCATCCGGTCAGTCGGACAGCGGCCTCTGGCGGGTTGACGCGAGAACAGCGCGGGCGTGGAGACGTTCGAGATGAGAAAAAGCGCACAGCGGCGGCCTCTCGCGGATTCGCAAAAACAAAAACTGCAGCCGTACGTACCCGCCGGGACGTATTCCGCGCTCTCCAGAAATGTCCGCGGGACTACGTTTCCACAATGAGACCAGGTTGGAGATGTCACATCCATAACAAAACCTTTACCTCATAAATGCAAAATGTCAAATAAATATTTTTTTCAACTCTGTGGTTAGTAGTTTTGAAACATATAAACATTTTTTTCAATACAGTGTTAACATATATCTGTGAATTAAAGTTTTGAGTTTTTACTGGAAATGTCGCATCCATAACGCTGGAATAGCTCAGTAGTAATATAACTTCCTGTTTTATGGATGATAAAAACGAAACTGGACATTGGCTTGGCAAAACACTAGTGTAAGGCCCTACTGTGGTCATTTGTTTACAAAAAGTGTCATTCTAAAGTGCTCAGTGACTTCAGTTGTGTTACTGTGATAGGATGCCACCTTAGCAATGAGTTACTTCATGAAATTTCATCCCTGCTAGATATTGCATGGTCAGTGGTATTATTGGAAAATGTAAGCATTTTGGAACAGCAGCAACTCATCCACGAAGCGAAAGACCATGTAAAGTCACAGAGCAGGGTCACAGAGTACTGAGGCAAGCATAATGAAAAGCATTAAAAGCAGGGATGTAAAGCACGCCAGCGCTGGACTCCTTTCTGATCTAATCTAAAATCTGAAATTAGCAGTCTGACTTTTCTGTTTAGTATGAGAATGTTACATGTCTGAACGAAAGACTAAAAAATATGGACGATGCAACAGCGCCTTTTTCCAATTGAACACTTTAAAGGCAAAATGCCTCATGACAGGCACAAACTGTTGCAACAGACTGCTAAAATTGGAGCCTGTGCATGCGCAGAAGGGAATACAAGATGGAGCCAGAGCCACGGAATCCAGCTTCCAACTAAACACTTGTACGTCAAATCAACCAAGCCCCCCGAACTTCTCATTTGACTGCCCGTATCTGCACTATAACAAAGGCTTGCTAATTTAAAAACTCATAATAATAACCGGTTTAAAAACTGTGTGATGTAAGCTGTTTTTAATTATTTAATAAAAAAAATACATGTTGGACTGCAGAAATAAACAATCTTTCATACACTCTAGCCAAAGTTAGACTCAGCTATGAGCACAAATATATTTCTCCTATAACAGGTTGTTGGTATCATTATCTTCACAGGGTAGAAATATCACTTGTAAAATATGAACAATAACATATGAACAGCACATACATTTTAGAAAGATTTTAATGTTTATTTACCAATCAACAGGACCCAAAATACACACATCATGGACAGCTATTTGCCATGCTAGAAAAATCGTGCGTTTAAAAGATATAAACACTGCAGGATTTCTAAATATCAACAGGATGTTTACCAGGGCCGGAGTGGGACTCTTTTTCAGCCCTGGAGTTTCAAGCCTTAGACCGGCCCACCTCAGTTCACCACTGACTATATTACAGTTTTTCTCGATTGCTTGGATGTAGTTGTCAACTGAAACTCCACATTTTCAAAACAGTTAACACACAGGCCTAAACAGCGGCACTCATGGTCAAAATGACACATTTTGCTTGCAAAAGGCACATACCGTGTCAAAACATTTAACATATGCAACAAAAGCTAGTTTTACCTTCAAACTACACAACTTGCAAACTTGCAAACAAGTATATGAGCTCTTTCAATTAATCATTACACAATAGACAACAAAATACAAAATACAGAACTCAAAATGCACCACCATTGGCATTTGTTGTCTCTATTTAGGCTGTCAAATTCGCCTTTTTGCAAAGAATTGGATCAAGAATAAGATGTGCTTTGATTGAATATATATTGAATTCATGACATTTTTCAAACTGTGGCTGAAAACTGAAATACTGTATATAAAAAAAAAACAGACAAAAGTAATAAAATACTGTAAATAATAGAGAAAACACATGTAAACTAATGTACAGTCAAATCTATTGGGAGTATAGGACATAGCCATATTGACCTCCTCCATCAATGCTGGCACAGAACAACACAGACCTTCCATCGTTTATATAAGGTTTGCAGACTGATTGCTAATTGAAGACTTGTGTGAAGGAGTGTCAAACCGCTGCTTCAGTGATTTCATACTGATGTTGGTAGTTTTTAATAGTTAGGAATAGATGGATTCTGTTTGGTTACCAAAACTAAAACAATGGAGTTTGGACTGCTTGAATGACATCCGTGTTAACTGTTTGGAAAAATGGTGGGGAAAATGTGTCAACCCAATGAGAAAGGGTTTACACATTTGCAAGACCGGTCCTCTGCTCTGCTGGGATAGTGATAATGAAAATGAAGAGGAACCTAGTTTCTTTAACCAGGTCAAAGCAAACTAGAAAAACTGTAAAATAAGGTCATTTCCAATTCATTTTATAATTATACTATCACGTCTTTTTT